GCCCCTGGAACTAGAGTTATGAATGGCTGTGGGTTACCATATTGGTGCTGACAACTGAAGAACAACCAGTGCTCTTAACTACTGAGCCTTTTTTTCAGCCCTGATTTTTAAAAAAATAGCAAAGTTAAATGTATGGAAGAATAGGTTTATTGTTTTTTTTTTTATTATGATCCTCTTTCTATGCCCCAGACCTGTATATCTAAACCTATATAAGTACCACATTGTCTTGATTATTATAACTTTGTAGCTGAGAAGTATGAATTCCCTATATTTGCAAAATCTACATTTCTTTCCATCTACAAAAGTGTACTTTCCTGTTAGATACTATGTTTGAAGTGTTAAATTAGCAAGGCACTGAGTCATCTGGTAAATTTGCACCCATACTACCTGTTCTTAAAAATAATCCTTTGTCAGCTGGGAGTGGTAGTGCACGCCTGTAATCCCAGAATTTAAGGCAGAGGCGGGCGGATCTCTGTGAGTTTGAGGCCAGCCTGGTCTACAGAGCGAGTCCAAGACAGCCAAGAGAAACCCTTTCTTGAAAAACCAAAAAAGAAAAAAAAATATTTTCCTTTCTATGAGAATTAATATAAAGTTTTGATTACATTGAAAAAAACATCTCTACTTAGAGTTAATTGTTTAACAGTATTAACAGAATCAATTTGCTATGTAATTTTAGAAAGTTGAGACCTTGCTAGGTGTGCTGGCATGTGCCTTTGATCCCAATATTTACAAGGGAGAGGCAGGGAGTTCTAGGCTAGCCTTTTCTACATAGAAAGACCCTGTCTCAAAATAAGAGACTGGAGAGATGGCTCAAAGGTAAGAACACTAGCTCCTTTTCCAGAGGATCTAGGTTTTGTTTTAAGTACCCACATGGTGGCTCACAGCTCCCTGTAATTCAGTTCTAGGGAATCCGAAGCCACTTTTTTGACTGCACAGGAACCAGGCACATATGTGATGCACAGACATATATGCAGGCAAAACACCTACACACACAGGTGTACACACTTACACACACTCCTATGAAGGTAGAATAGGATTGTTTAAATACTGGCTTTGTGAACTAAGAAAACATTGTCTTCTGTTATCTCTATTTCCTAGTATAATGTGTATTTGTTGAATAAAGGAGCAAGCAAACTCCTTTTCAAAAAATAATGAAAGGAGTGGACTCATCTTATTCCTATGTCCTGGTACATGGGAAGAAACTAGGTTTGAGGGTCTTGCAAAATGTTGTAGCACTTACTGTGGTACACCAGGAAGATTTGTGACTTCTTAAGCCTATGTCCTCATCTATCATGGTTATTCTGAGGTTCAGTGAGATATTAAAGTGCCTCAAATCTATTAGATAACTTTGGGGGGGGTTGCTTTTATTGAGGGGGTTGTTTTTCAAGACAAGGTTTCTCTGTGTAATAGCCCTGGCTGTCCTGGACTCACTTTGTAAACCAGGTTGTCCTCAAACTCTTAGAAATCCACCTGCCTCTGCCTCCTGAGCGCGGGAATTAAAGATGTGTGCCACCATGCCTGGCTTTATTAGATAACTTAAATCATTATAGATTATAGCAACAAATCATTATGGGTTACAGTAATACTGCAGTAATACTACAGTAATTTTCACCTGTGGGTTTTCTCTTAGTTATATACATTGATCAGTACTTCAACTTCTTTAATGAATTAATTAGCTGTTTTGATTTACAGAAAATAAAAAGTTTTGGTATTAGCTGTATTCTGCACAGCCAGAAGTCAGTCTATAATTTATGGACTTTAATTATAAATTAAATATAATGTGGATTCTTTTTTCTAAATCTAGACCATGATTTTCTCATGTGTTTCCTTTTCCCAGAATCTCTCGCATAAGTTAATGTTGTTGTTGTTGTTGTTTTTATTTTTTAAGTAGGAAACTGGGACTCAGGGACACTGTCAGTGAGAATGTAAAATGGTAGACCCATTTTAGAGGGGAGTTTCATAGTGAATATCAGTGTTTAAAATGTGTGTATTTGAGACTGGAAAGATGGCTTAAAAGTTGAAAGCACTGGATGCTCTGCCAGAGGACTCTGGTTTGGTTCTGAGCACACACGTGGCAGCTCATAGCAGTCTCTTATTCCAGTTTCAGAGGTCTTCTAGTCTCTGAGACCACTGCACACACATAGTACACAGATATAGAGGCAGGCAAAACACCCAAACAAAATAAATAAAAGAATAAAATGTTTAACTTTTTCATGTGTATGTTTTTTTTTATTTAATACTTCTATTTTGTTGTTGTTGTTGTTTGAGTTTTCAAGACAGGGTTTCTCTGAGTAGCCCTGGCTGTTCTGGAACTCATGTTGTAGACCAGGCTAGCCTCAAACATAGAGATCCATCTGCCTGTCCTTCTTGACGGCTGGGAAAAAAGGTGTGCACTACCACTGCCTGGCATAGTATTTAAGAACCAAAGTATATGGGAACCAGATGGCTAGAAGTATTGGTGGTAATGGTGTTTGCAGTAGGAAAATTGGTAAATAGAATGTTTAGTCAGTACCTGCTTACAAAAGGAATATATATATATATACACATACATATTTTCCTGTTTATGTGAAGGTGAAATATTTGTTTCTGAAAAAATATCTGTGTGTTTTAAATTTTTTAACTATTATTTTAAAAATATAAGATGAAATTTATATTAACTAGTTTGTGTTTTTATTTTGTTTTGTTTTGTTTTTCTGAGACAGGGTCTCTATACAAGCCCTGGCAGTCCTAGAACTCACTCTGTAAACTGTACTGCCCTTGAACTCTTGCCTCTGCTTTCTGGGATTAAAGACATGTGCCACCATGCCCAGAAACCATTTCTTCTTAAATATAATATTTTTATTATTTGAGAATTTCATTCATGTATACAATGTATTCTGATAATATTTCCTTCCCATTCTTTCCTCTAATTCTTTCCAGGTCCAACCCTCACATTTTGTCTCTTCCTAAATTTATGTCTTCTTTTTAAAAAATAATCCATTGAGTCCAGTTTCTGCTGCCTATAAACTCAAGGGTATGGGACCACCCATTGGAGCATGATTGACTTATCAGGGGCCATACCCTTAATAAAAACTGTCTTCTTTGGAAGCCATTAGAAGCCATCAACTGTCAATAGCTCCTGCATTGTTGACTGACTTGATCCTGTGAAGGTTTTGTAATAGGCAACCACAGCTACTATGAGTTCATGAATATAGTAAGTAGCCTTGTTGTGTCTAGAAGATAGCATTTTGATACAGTCCTTCCCAACCTGTAGCCTTGTAATTTTTCTGTCTTCTCTCCCAAATAGATTATCTGAGCCTTGTGGGCAAGGAACGTGGTTGTCCCATTATGGCTGAGGATTCCATAGACATTTATTCTTTATGTTTTGAGCAATTGTGATTTTCTGTATTAACCACCAACCACTGCACAAAGAAAATTCTTTAGGGTGGACTAAAATCTTTACTGATCTACGGGTATAGAGATACAAATTTAGAGGGCAGTTTGCTACTATGTCCATTTAACAAAATAGTAATAGTTTGTTTACCCCTGGGGCCTATGGACTTTCTGATCATGTGTTTTGGGCCAGATTCACAGTAGTCCGCATGATTTTTCCCCCATGGCATTGGTGTTAAAATCCACCCAGAAAGTGGTTTATTATTCCTCTAACATTTTGCCACCCATGAGCATACCTCACAATGCTATCAATTATTGTAGCTCACAGGGTTCACAGCTGGCTAAGACTGTTGATGACTTTTCTTCCCGAGAAATTTACATAGCACCTTCTGGCACTATGAAAGCAAATCAGCCAGGTCAAATTTTCCTGGTCAGTACCAACTTGATTTTTCCATGTGCTGTGACCAGAATGTATGGTGTTTGTTTCTAAGTGTATACTTCAGTAATGTTAAATATATTTACACTGTTATGTAAACACTCTCTAGAACCTTTTTATCTTGCAAAAATAAAGCACTGACATCATCAGTCTGATCTCCTTTCTCCCCCACACATATCAACTACTTTTCTACTTTTTAACATTTTCAGATTAACTACCCACATATATATCCATAAGTGACATTCATTCTTTTATTTTGTCCAGTATAATATCCTTAATGATCATCTATGTTGTAGAATTAGAATGAGTCAAATTTTCTAATTTTTAAAAATTAGTTAATTTTGCAGTGTTAGGAATTGAACTCAAGGCAAATATTATGCGATTCAACTGTGTCTGTAGCCCAAGAATGCCTTCTTAAAGGGTGTTTCTTGAGCTGGAGTAGTGGCTCACTGTAGTAGTGGAGCACTGGCTGTCTTCCAGACGACCTGAGGTCAATTCTCAGTGCCTACATGATAGCTCACAACTGTCTGTAACTCCAGCTTTCGGGAACTTGATGTCCTCTTCTGATTTCTGTTGGCACTACACACATGTGGTACCCATACATGTAAGCAACACACACATGTACACACACAGTTATGATTATTAGTGTTTTCTCCTTTTATGTCTATCCAGCCATCTATTCATGGACATGCGCTGTTTTTCATGCTAGGCTTGTGCAGTGCTGGGGACTAAACCCATTTGTACGCTAGACATACTCTACCTATCAGCCATGTCTATTCTTTTGTCAAAAAGAGCGATGAGGCGGTAAATCTGGGTGTGCAGATTCCTCTTTGAGATTCTGTTTTCTGTTCTGCACATGTTTTGAGTTTATAAGAACATTTCTGGAAAGCAGAGGAAACTGAATGCTGGAAAGTGTTCTGGGGTGGTATTTTGACTTAGTATTTAATGTACTTTAGCCAGGCGCAATGGTACACACCTTTAATTCCAGCACTCAGGAGGCAGAGGCAGGGGGATTGCTGTGAGTTCGAGGCCAGCCTGGTCTACAGAGCAAATCCAAGACAGTCAAGGTTGCACAGAGAAACCCTGTCTCGGGAAACAAAACAAAGCAATTTATAGTAGACATTACATTTTTGTATGATTAGTAAACTATGAAAACACTAATTGTTATATATTTGGTTTATACAATATTCAGAAGTCAGAAGTCTTCTTACCACAGATACCTCCAGCTGTTATGAGACACTGTAAATGGAATCTGAATCATAATTCTTCCCCTACAAAAGTTTTTGAGGGATGCAGTAGGTAAGTGGTCAGTGCTCAGCCTTGCATGTATTATGGGTGTTTGGGTTTGTTGGGACAGGTTTGAAATAGCCCAGGTTGGGTCAAAATCACTCTATAAGTTAAGTTTGCCTTTAGTTTCTGATCCTTCTGTCCCTACTTTACATAGTTCTAGAAGGTAAAAGCATGTGTCTTGTTCTACATGTGCTTGTGTACATATTATCTATTGGTAACCCCAAGACAGGATGACAGAAAGTTTTCTTTTGTTTTGTTTATTTTATATGAATTGTGTTCTTATCTGTATAGTTTTGCAATTAAAATGATCCCTTTCAGTAATTTTGTGTAGAAAGGATTAAGCAAAGAGTAATGATCACATATACATAAGTTGTACTGAAGAGGGTCATGGTGTCAAGCCCCAATATCATAGCATTCCTGTAACAACTCTGGGCTATTTGGCTATTTTTCCTCTGTTTTTCAAATGCTTGTGTGAAGAAGAGTCTAAAAATATTTTTCTAGACCTAAGCATTTGCTGAAAGTATTTTTTCCTCTGGATTTTTGCAGTATGGACAGCGAAGTTCTTAAGCAGAACATTTTGACTAAATTCAGCTTCTTTATGAACATGGGAAGAAAGTAGTTTCCAGGTAATCTGGTAATAAGGAGGTGCTGTTTTGTGGTTCTGTGGATAGTCACTTATCTCACAGAAAGGAAACTAAGGCCCAGAGAAATGTGGAAAAGCTTATCTTGAGCTCTTAGTATATTTAAGTGACATTTTCATTGTGGTTTTAAAGCTTCCTCTGATCAGATATGGTATTACATGCCTGTACCTCTTACATGCCCAGAAGCTGACAATCAAGAATACTGACTGGGTATACCTGTAAGGGATTTTCCTTAATTAAATCATTTGAAATGGGGATACTCAAACCAAATCCAGACCTTTTGAGGTGGGAAGATCTGTGGTCCTCCTTGATCCTGGAGTTGTGTTGGTCAGTGGTCCTCAGGAACAAGGGGAGCAGAACTAATCAACTGATGGGCATATCCAGGGTGGGTGAATGTCGTTGGCTGAAGAGCTAAGTTATTGGGATGCCTCATTAACATGAAGAGACATTCCAGGAATCCTAGGTGCCTGCTGAATTGGTTCCACTGGGAGAAAGGGAGTTGGACCTGTAATTTTCCTAAGGACTATTCTCAGGCACAGGGTGTGGGGATCTGGGCTCCTCGAGGTAGAGAAGAGGAAGCCTCACTGACCAAGGGAATCCAAGTCCTCCATTTTGCACTGAGCTCAGGGCTTTCCAGTAATGGCAGACTTTGACCTTAGCAGCAGGGTTTGTTTCCCTGACAAAGATCCACCTTAAATCTGGGTCATACCTTCTGGCCTATGTAAAGGACATTCCATTTCTGTAAAATTTTTTATATGTTCACTGATAACACTAGAATCTATGGACTTCCATAAGGCAAATTCTGTATACTGAATTGTGTATAAAGGTCAACTTCACAGTAAATGCCTCTTAAGTATGAAACAACTGTCAATATTCTTGCATGATATATGTATATAAATAATTGTAAAAAAATCTTTTCTAGAATTATCTATAACTATTTGAGTGGAACACCATTTGAAGAATACCAAGCCAGTCCATACTTTTGCCGATTTTTACAATGGAAATGGCTGGAAAGGTAGGATTTAATTTAATATTAAATAAAAAATAATAACTTCTCACAATGCATACTATTTGATGTTTTTTTTTTTTTTTTTTTTTTTTTTACCTGTCACAGTACTACTGGAAATCTTGAGTTGTGTGTATTATTTTACATAGAAATCTTTAATAGGCAGAATATTATAAAATTTCTCCCATTTTAGTGGATCCTGTTCTTTCTCATGAAAATGGTATTTAACATTCATGGTACATAGTTAGAAAATAAAGCATTTTGGTTTTATAAGCCTCTGTTCAAATTCTTGCTAGCTATGTGGCATTAGGCAAGTGACTTAACCACTGTGAGGTATAGATTCTTTTTCTGTTCAGAGATATTTATATCACTGTCTTTGTTAGGGTTTCTATTGCTGTGAAGAGACACCATGACCATTGCACCTCTTTTCTTTTTTTAAAGATTTATATATTTGTTATGTATACAATGTTCTGTCTGCATGTACACCTGCATGCCAGAAGAGGTCACCAGATCTCATTATAGATGGTTATGAACCACCATTGCTGGGAATTGAACTCAAGACCTCTGGAAGAACAATCAGTGCTCTTAACCTCTGAGCCATCTCTCCAGCCCCTCCCCCCACTTAATTGGAGCTAGCTTACAGTTCAGAGATTTAGTCCATTATCATCATGGTATCACAAAGGCAGTCATGGTACTGGAGAGGTAGCTGAGAGTCCTACATTGGGATTGGCAGGCAGTAGGAAGACAGAGTGACCCTGGGCTTGGCTTTGGCTTTTGAAACCTCAAAGCCCACCCTCAATGACACAATTTCTCTAACAAGAGCACACCTTCTCATACCTGGTCACACCTTCTAATAGTGCCACTCTCTATGAGCCTATGGAGGCCATTTTCATTCATACTCCTACAGTACTCTATGCTGCTTGACTCTATGCTTGCAAGATGCATGTACAATGCTTAGCCCAGTGTTTAGTGCACAAAAGAAGTGCTACAAAACCTTCAGCTGCTATTAGTACTATTTTGATTACTATTTCTAAAATGTTCACTAATAGTTTGACATACATCTCCTCCCCCTCCCCCTGCCTCATTTTTGAGATGAGGTTTCATTATGTAGTCTGGCTGGTCTGGAACAGATCTGCTTGCCTCTGCTTCCTGAGTACTGGGGTTAAAGGTATGTACCACCATGCTCAGCTCTCTCTCTCTCACACATACACACTTTTTTTTTTTTTTTTTCCGAGAGGTTACATTTTAGGTACTTAAAGGAAAGTGTGCTATGTTTATGTAGTTTTCCTCAGTAGCCTTTTGACAGTTTGGAAAGTATACCAAAGATTGTTCCATGAAAAAAAGAAATTCCATGAGCTGTAAACATGCATATTTCTTAGGGCTACTTACATACTTATCTTAGGATAATTAAGCTGTTTAGTATTTTGTGTCAGTGTCTTTAATAAATTTTAAATGTGCTTGTTTCTGAGTGAAACGTTGAGAGCTGTAAGTCCTGAGCATAAATGCCTTGGTCTCAGGCACTGTTTCAGGCAATATGGGCCAACAGGACTAATACCAGCTCTAGGTAGGCTTTTTTATTTTAAAATAACAGTGCAGGACTAGAGAGATAGCTTAGTGGTTAACAGCACTAGCTGCTCTTGCAGAGGACCTTGGTTTGATTCCCAGCACCCACTTGGCAACTCACCACTGTTCTTAATTCCTGTTCCAGATTATCTAAGACCCTCATGCAGGTAAAATCAAATATACATAAAAAATAAAAATATATTTTTTAATTTTTTAATTTTAATTTTTATTAATTACACTTTATAAAATTAAAAATTTTAAAAAATACAGTGTGAGATCTGAAACTTTTTTTTAAATTGTTTAGGCGGCCAGTAACAAAGAACACGTTCAGACAATACAGAGTTCTAGGAAAAGGCGGATTTGGAGAGGTGAGTTACCTGTACCAGTGACAGCAGTAATTCTGTTAGAAGTAGCTGGTCATCCACACATGACATCAGGTAACTTGTCAACTTTGCCAGTACACATGTCTCCTTATTATGCATTTTGAGAATAGTTTCAGGCAACTTGAAATGAAGGTGCATCTTTGAGCAAAACGTACTTTGCTTTAAGATTTAAAACAACAGCAAACCTCTCTTTGTGACTTCACTATCCACTTTCCATTCTGACAGAACCTATGTTTTTCATGTTTGTTGTTCAAGTTAGGCAGTGTGTCGAGACTGAAAAATTTATGAAATTTCTGTTATTCAGGACTAGCTCTAAAATTTATGTTGCATAGAATAGAATACTAATTATTTTTAAAGAGATGAAGTCTCACTAGCTTATCTAAGTTAGCCCTGCTAAACTCCTGGGTTCAAGAGCTCCTGTTGCCTCAGCAAGCTGGAACCATAAATGCATGCCATTTATCTAACCACAGGACATTGTTACAGATGCTTACTTAACTGTGTTTGGACATTGTCTCAGTTTTCTTTCTGTTGCTATGATAAAAAACTCTGACCAAAAGGACCTTATGGAGGAAAGGGTTTTGTTTGTCTTACACTTTCAGGTCTCAGACTGTCATCAAGAAAGGCCACAGCATGAATTCAAGCAGGAATTTGAAGCAGCAGCATGGATGGATACTGCTTACTGGCTTCTTTCCTCTGGGTCATGTTCAGCCAGCTTTCTTCTACAACCCAGGCCTACCTGCCCAGGGTTAGGACTGCCTATAGTGACTGGGTCCTCCACCATAATTAACAATCAGAAAGATAACCCACAGACATGCTTCAGGGCAATCTGATGGAGGCTGTTCCTCAATTGAATTTTCCTATTCTAAGCTCCAGATTATGTCAAGTTGGTGATAAAAGCTAATCAGTATAGATATAGGTGTACCTTATACCTACATTAAAAGGTGTTCAGGGCCTTTTGTGATGGTGTATGCCTATAATTGGGAAGCTGAGTTAGGAAGATAGCAAGTTCTAGGTGAGCCTAGATTACATAGTGAGACCCTCTCTGAGAATTTTTTTTTTCAGATATAGAACATGGTATAACCCTAGCCTTATATGTGCAAGGCCTTTTGTATAACCTCTAACATCTTTTTAAAAAGTATTTTAAAATGTGTGAATTTAGTTGGGCTTGCTGATACAGATCTTTAATCCCAGCACTTAGGAGGCAGAGACAGGCAGATCTCTTAAGTTTGAGGTCATTCTGGTCTACAAAGTCTAGGACAGCCAAGGCTACTCAGAGAAAGCCTGTGTTGAAAAACAAACAAACAAACAAACAAAAAAGTGTGTTTATGAGGGGTAGGTTTTAAATATGATGGCTGTCCTGGATAGAGATCACTTGTAACAGCTAGACAGAGGATAACACACAGTTCTGTTGTGATAATTTAGATAATTAATGTTAATTGCCCCATTAATTATCTGGAGTGATCATATTCAGTGTATGCATTTCCAAGTCATCATGAGACCAGCAAGTCATTGGGAACTAACACTTTTTAAAATCAGAAGCAGGTTACACTGCCTAGATGTGATTTCAATTATACATGTTCTTGAATTCTACTTTAACACAAAAGCAGAATCTACCAGCATTGTCTCAAAATTAATTTAGGAAGCCAACTCCAGAGTTATTGTGCTCAAGTGAGCTCTGTCAGCCATTTGCATGTTGAGGTAAAGAAAGTGAGTCAGAACTACCATCACTTCCTGTTGGAGGTGTACCCCTGACACACCTGGAGACTTGTATAACCTATAGGTTTGTATTTGGCTAATTTACCCAACGCTGCTGTAAGACCTTCATGGGGATGGTCTAAAAAGAACCATTCTTCTGTGGAATGTGTCCTAGACCAGAGACTCATCTCTCTTCAGCTCATGCTGTTGTTCTTGATCTCCACATACAAGGCTTGAGATTTTGTTAAAGAACAGAGGAAAAGAAGTTTTAGGGAGCTGGGTCTCATGTTTTTTTTTTTTTTTAAATAGATTTATTTATTTATTATACAGTATTCTGTCTGCATATATACCTATACACCAGAAGAGGACACCAGATCTCATCATAGATGGTTGTGAGCCACTATGTGGTTCCTTGGAATTGAACTCAGGACATCTGGAAGAATAGCCAGTGCTCTTAACCTCTGAGCCATCTCTCTAGCCTCTGGGTCTCATGTTTATAATAAATGAAATTCTAATTATAATCATATATGATTTAAGATTGGTTCAGTGGGATCTCCTGAGCATTTTAATTATTATGAAAGACTTGATACAGAGTATATTTGGATACATTTACTTGGGGTTTCAAGCATGATTAGAAGAATGAATTAACTGTGATAGCTCTTTGTAGACTTTTTGTGGCTATGTTGGGCTCTAAGTCAAGGCCCAGAGGACAGTACACAAGCTGCTTCTACTCTGAGTGTCTGTCAGAGCCTTACTGAGTCAGTCAGTCAGGGACAGTTGCATTTTCCCTCCAGTCCAAGTTCCTAGTGTTAACACCTGCCTATGCCAGTGAGCTTAAAGGGCAATCATAATTTACTTATTTTACCACTAGTAATTCTCTTGATTATGCTTTAAGTTCTATAAAGTCAATCTCCAGCTTCCTAAAGCAAGAGCAGAAGAGAGCATTTGGGTGCAATTCTTGTTCCAAAGGTAGCATAGTGTGGTGTACTGAAGAGCTGTTTAAGCCCAAGATCAAGTCCTGCTTGTCATTTCCAGTTGTGTGATCTTAACTTGATATCTTGACTTCATCTATAGCAGGAGAGTGATAGACCCTGCTATAGCTTCCTGAGTATATGGAACCAGTGTGTTTAGCCTTGAACTTTTCTATTTTATTTTATTTTATTTTATTTTATTTTATTTTATTTTATTTTA